GAGAGAGAGAGAGAGAGAGAGAGAGAGAGAGAGAGAGAGAGAGAGATGTGAGGAAGATGGAAGAGGAGAGTGGGATAAAGGACGGACGGATGTGCGGCGGCAGCGACGGCGCCGGCGGAGGGTGGACCCGTTCAAGGGAGACAACGGAGCCCGGGCTCTCTCCTCTACTCGCGCGCGCGAAAAGAGCCGGGCGAGCGGGAAGAGCGCGGCAGGCAGGCGAAACCGTGGGCTAATTCGAGTGGCTGGTGAGGTGCGTGCGGGACCGCGCCGCAATCAGTCGAGTCGTGTTATCGGAGCTCCACGAGAATGGGGGTGTAGAATCACGATCGCCGCCCCCAGCATCCCGGAGACTGAGCTGGCCGGGAGGTCTCTTCCCGGGCAGCGGCAGCTTCTCGCACAAGCGCACTGCGGAACGCGAGAGCTTTTGGTCTATATAGAGCTGCGGGGGTGGTCATCTCTCTCTCTCTCTCTTTCTCCCCGGCGCGCTCTCTATATCGTTCCGGCATCTCTTTCTCGAGATCATGTCCCCCCCCCCCCACCCCCGTCCTCTTCGTGTCAGCTTATGGTGAGGCGCCTACGTTCTCCACCTCGGCGGAATCCCGTGTCTTCGTGTCTTTGTGGATTTTTCCTTCGTCGCCGCGCGACCGCTTCTTGAAATTCCTCTTTGTAGGCGCAAACGCGGGAAATCACGGCAAAGAATTCGCGGACGTTTAACGGTACGCCGTTTTCATAAAGAAAGGAGGGGCTTTAGAGTTCTTTTTTTTTTTTTTTTGTTGAAAGGAGCAAATAGTTGAGAGCGCTTCTCGCTGTCGTGTATTTTTCTTCGCAACGTCTCTGGCGAATATGAATTGTATGACCGTGTTTTCCGTCATTAGTTAATTTTCATGCGTAAAAACGAGAGCGCTTCCATTCCCCTGATTACTCCAGTTGGCTAATTTCATCTGCATAGATAGTTGACGCAACATTCTCTCCCACATTCACGTTCTAAACCTCATTTCCAATTCTCCTTTATGATTCCATTTTTGCTTGGGCGTCTCGGAAATACTGTCTCTCTTTCAGAAAATCACGTATGAATTTTTCCTAGCTGCAAGATTGTTTCTTTCTTGCTATTTTCCAAGAAGTGCTTTGGCAACTACGCTGTTGTTTTTAACGAACTGTTTGCGTCTCATAAATCCTTTATATCGTCCGATTGTTTTCACGAGCAATGAAGTATGATGTGGATACGCATGTGCGTTGCGAATTGTGCGGATTGGCACGTGAATTATTTCGATTTCGTTAAATTTTTAAACGCCATCGAGGATTATCGAGGGACGCGTACCGGAGCGAATGTGTTCCTGTTTTTCCGCATTGTAGCTTATTGAGCATTCCCGTTCGTGATTTTTGTCGATTGGGACTACCTGGGGAGGAATTCTCTTTGTCCCAGGGAATCCGCGCCATGAATTTTTCCATGGATACTTCCCGCCGTTCTTTTTCACGATTCATCTTCATCGACGCGCTCGCCACTCGAAAGATGGCTCTCAATGGCGTCTCATTATTTGCGTGAAACGACCGCTAAATTTTTAATGCACATTGCAAGTCGCCGGCTGAATGTTACCTTGATCAAAATATATCTCACTAAATAATGAAAGAAAGTTTGTTTATAGACAGAAATTAACTGTTGAGATTGCAGAGTGCATTTATGCAGAGAAGATTATTCCATATGAAATGTAACGGATTGTGTTCTTCATTTAAATAACAGAAGAATCTTGCGCGAGGGTTCACGGTAGGGTACGCGTGCACGATACGCTAAAGTACATTTATTCGAAAGAGAAGATGTCATCCGCTACTAGAGTATTCCGCCCAGGTGAAAGATAAACGGGCGAGGAGCGTTTTCGCAAAGTCGAGGACATTTCAGGCGCGTATTCGGTTCAGCCAACGCCGCCTGCTCTCGTACGGGAAGATGCTGACGGGCGAGGGCGGTGGGTGGTCGGCGCGAGATAGCGCTACGCGAGGGGGGGCAGGTGGCGAGAGGGGACAAAATGCTCCGTGGTTCTGCGACCCACTGACCCGCTCGATAACGCTGCCACCGGGGTCACTGACCTTCCGCACGCGCGAAATTCGCGTTGGTGCGATCCTCTCGAGGCTGGCCCGTTTCTCGACTCGAGTCAAAGATCATCCCATCACGCGAGGACTTCCTCGATCGCGCGCGTTTGTAACTCCTGCGGCGCGCACTGCCGATAATCAATCGATCGACACGGACGTAACGGAAGTGCGCAGCCACCGAAGACGCAGATGACTGATTGTCAATTTGGAATGCTGGAAATTGGTTTTCGATTGGGCCGATCTGGCGCCCGTGGATTTAACGGAATTTATTGCGCGGCCGTGTGTCGGGCAGAAATGAGAAGCCGCGGTGATTGGGGGAAAAATGTTGCTTGCCGAAAAACAGAGTCGCCGGCGTCCTTTGGCGAGGTTGCGGATGCATATAGTCGCAAATATTGCAACAAGATCGCAGGCGTAGGTGTGTCCGATGTATGTATCTTGCTTTCAACGGGTGTCAGGATGGAGTGCGATGTTTTAATTATGCTGTTTTGACATTCGTTACTCGGAAAAATTGTGTTGGCCGATTTAAACACCGATTAGCTCACCGCGGACCTACATTTGAGATCGAGACCTGAGATACGAAGTATGTTTCAGTTACATTCTATGAGTTGACATGTTTAATAGGAGGTAGTTGATTTAATAATACGTCTCGCGATAAATTTCCATAATATTTGACAGCACGCGTGTAATATCACGTGCCAACTAATTGTAAATGATGAGGCTTGGCAATAATCCATGACATTTTCAATACCAGGCTCCACGATGTCTCAGCCTTCATCGCGAAGATTCTTACGATTGAAAAAGAGGAGAATAATGACCGCGAAATGCAGTAATTAATTAATGAATTAATAATTAATAAACGCAGCAATTAATTAATAAGTGAATTTATCATTCAATTTATTGCGAGCAATTTAATATTAAATTGCTATTGAATATGAAATTTGCAGTTTCCTTTTTCCATCTTCAAAAATATTAAAATTATGATGAAGCGCTTTTAGGTCATGTTTGCCTTTAATTCCCATGTTTTTGCTTAGTTTTATTACTTAATATACTTTCTACAGTTTATTACTCATTATTGTTTTATGTCCAAATTAATGAAAGTTGGGAGAAAATATTAAAGCATTAAGTGGGAACAATAAGAATTGCATGATAATCTGGTTTGTGCAATTAAATCGAGTGCAACATCTCGTTCGTAGTATTTTTCTGCGTGCTGTAATATCGCGTTTCAAGGATTGCGACAGGCGAGACACTCACGCACAGCAGTATTGATTTCGAGACCCGCTTGCAGTGCTGCCGCGATTCTACGTTACTAGAACTAAACTCTGAATGAAAGATCGCAAAAACGATGATGGACCACAATTTATCTTAGAATAAAGTGATTTTTTTTTCCTAGAAAAAAAACAGGATGTTAAAAAATATCGACGACTATCAATTTACAAGAATCTTAATTGAATGACCTTTCTGAATTTTTTATAATTGATTGCTATTAATTTAATACAATCGTATAATTAAAAAAAGAATCGTAATTTATCATTTTTAAATGCTTCATAAAACGCATGACGTATAATCACTTATATGTTTATCTCTTTTTTTTTGTATTCCATAAATTCTAGAATATTATATGAAATAATTTATAGAATTTAAAATCTAAAATCTTTTGTTTCGTGTTTTATTCCGTATTAATTAGTTTTTGTTTTATCGGATAAATAACTGCTGATAAAGTTTATTTATATAATGTGTCACATAAAAGTGCTCTTAAAATGGAATTATTTTTTAAAAATCTGTATTAATGAATAGTCGAGCATAATTTGACCGTAAATTGCTACCTTAAGTATTCGTTATATTGCGGTACATTCAATGATTTCAATTACGAAATCATCTAACGTGATACGAATCTTAACGCTCTCCGTAAGGAGATTGCAAGAGTTCTTTATGTTAATGGAACTAATTAAATAACTTGTAATCTACAAAGTATAGAATTATTACATCTTATACTTTCGCGCAGATTTATGCTTTGTAGTTTACATCAGTTTTATCTTATTTTGTTTTTTATCAAAATTTGTTAAACATTTAGGCTTGAACTACACTATCGTTCTTATCACGGTTCACGTTCTTATCACGCTCCGCTCTCGGATCGATAAAATATTTTTTAATTGTTTCAGTGAGATCTCGTGAGATCGAGTGAGATTCGTTATTTATGTTTAGTGTAAATGCTTGCGCTAAAAGCAATTGAAAAATATTTAATTGATCTAAGAGAAAGGTGTTATCGGATCGTGACAAGCGATAAAGTGTGGATTGAGTCTTATTGAATAATCAGTAGTGTGTTTATTCAGTTGTGTAATAAATCAATAAATCAATGAATAAACTAAATATATGTGAGCTTGAAATAGATAAATATCCGCGGTCTAATATAAGCTGGTTGTTTGCTAAAAGTCAGAGCCAGCGAGTTTGTCGGCTGTAGGCTATTGGAGATCGTAAAATGTGTAACCGTCTTGAAGTAAGTATTTCTAAGGCTATTTTAAGGCACCAAAGGCGTTCCAGAGACTCTTTAATGATAAGCAGTGCACTTGAAACGGTGTCGGCGTTCCATATGGCGCAATGATTTTTTTAAGTTAAACTAGTGATGCGGATGTTTATTCTTGAATTGATGAAATGCAGAGCGCATTTTATCATTCATTTTTTTGGCACATCAAATATTTTCCAGAAAAATTATTTTTTTCTTATATTATTAATTGCTATTGCTATTTATATTATTTTCTTATTTAATTATTAAATTAAAAATATTATCTTAGGAATAGAAGAATATTTAAACCTTTTTTAGTGGAAAATTGGATACATGTCTGAAAATGCCATTTTGCTGGGTGGAAACATTAATGTTTGCGAATACCTTAAAAAACTTGTATTTGTCAGAATGTACTTACTTCGCATTCTTTGGCAGCATGCCATTTGCTGGACCGGAATATGTAGGAGTGAGGCAGAGGGGCGGGTTATTCGCATTCTGCGGAACTAAGGGCTGCCTCGCATGCGCTGGTGATGTGTGCGAGCCATAACCATCGGAGTTTAGCTAAAAGCACAACAAGAATAAATTTAAAGATTTCCGGCTACATTTCTGTCTAAGCTGTTGCGAGCTAACGTGTTTCATAAATTTCATATTAAATGCAGTTATCATATTATTGCGATACAATCTCATTATAACGCAATACGTGCGAAAACAATCGAATATTTCTTTTATCGTGAATTCTCTGATCAATCCGATGCAAATAATTTGGCTACAGTGAATAACGAACTTTTCGCTAAGAATAAATCTTCGAGTCGACCGAAGAAAATTGTGGTTAAATATTAGAGATGTCTGAATTGTAGAATTCTGATATTCTGCATTTGCGCGCACAATGCGCCGCAGTGTTGTCTTTAATCACTCACCTTGACGACAGTGCCGATCAAGGAATCAGGTGGCATCTCTGGGGGATCGGGTATCACACCAGGATTCGTGTGCGCCGGATAATCATTGTGCAGATTAGCCTCCTTAACGGGAGTACCGCCGTCGAGTCGTTCCATATCCAAACTGTCGGTCGGTGTCGGTTGGGAGAGCAAGCGCTCTTTCATCTCATGTAGGTATGGACACCGTTGCATCTCTTCAGGGTCTTCTTTGTTGTCTTTCTGACGATCTGAAGAAGAACGAAACTAGAATCAGAAACACGCGAGAGAGATTCCTTCAATCAAATACTCCGTACATTCAAACATGCAGTACTCGTCAGGCGGAGTCGCAAGAGTTTGCTCACATTTTGCACAGGGATTTTCATGAAAAACCAGTTGAATCTTTTTTAATAAGTCTGTCTATATTAAAAAAAAGATCGATAACGGTGTTCACCACTCTGTGGCTTGGCGAGAGAGCGAGTTTCGGGGAAAATATTATATTAAAATTCTGAATTTTTTTATGCCTGTGTGCGCGTAAATTTTAATTTGCGAAATTGATGGGAAATCCTTTATTCACTTATCACCTATGTAATAATTTAATAAAATAAATGTAGTGCCAAAAGAATAGTATCTACACAAATACAATGGAAACTTTGTTTCGTTGAATTTTGTCGGACGTTTATTTGATTTTATTGAAGCGTACGTGCGATCCTTTGAGTCTTTAGCTCTCTCAACTATCGGAAGAAATAACAGGCGGAACTTTCGCAAACTCTTCTGATTTACGAATGCCAAAGTGTTCTTTGATGTTCAAATAAAAGAAAATTGAAAGGTTGAGAATTGCAACTTTTAGTTTCCGTAACAAATAGAAGTTCCTCGAAGTGTTTGAATTTAGGCTGGAGATACGCAAAGTTTGGTGCAGATAGATGTTATTTTCTAAAAGTGTCATTTTCAGTCAAATGTGTGTCCTCAGTTGTTTTATGGTAATGTCATATGAAAGGTTATTATCTGTGCGAAATGTCGCAATTATTAATGTAATTATATCTAACGGATAATGTGATGTAATTGAAACATTAAACTTGTGGTGAAGTCTGTATACCACACATTCATTAGTAGGTCAGACAAACAAATCCTCTAAAAACAACAAATAATACTTATTTTTTAAACATAAAAGTTTATCGTGCAAATTTTTTTTTATTAAAACAAACTCTATATTTGCAAATATAAAATTCTCATTACTATATTAATTCAATTCGCGCTTGAACAATTCACAATTTCACAAAATTATTTCACTGAACTTACTTAAAGCCACGGTACCCATAATGTACACTTTAAACGCGCATTTAATATTCGAAGAAAGGGTCTTTGAGAGAAAATTTGCTCTCGCGCAAGAAGTTGATGAAAAAGAGATCGTGAAAGAGCAGGCAACGATAGTGCAAACGCGATCGAATCAGTACTGTCTCAGAAGGAAGCCCCATCGCCGTTAACTGGCTCTCTTGGCTCTCTCTCTCTCTATATAGTAGAGATCGCCAAACATGGAGCTGCGATTGGCGCGCTAGCGTGTCTGGTCACGTGCGTACATCTTTCCACGTGGATGCTCTCTGAAGAACACGACAGGCGAGATAAGAAAACGAATGAACACCTCGAAGAGATGTCATGATTTTGTCACGTTTAAAACTACAGTTTTAAATAATTTTTTATCCTCTATTTTAATTATTTTCATTTTTATTCTCAAGTCTGATAAGCCGGATCAGCTTAAGCTCATTCGCACAGTTTGCTCGTTTAATCTTATTTTACAATTTATTAAATTATGCATTTATTCTATTTATTTTGTTTATGATTTTTTAAAAATAGAATTGTATTAGTTTTAATACTGAATTATTATAAAATTATTGTTCCGTTATGTGCATTTTGAGTTTCGATTATACAAATACATTTTCTGGAATATGAAGGAAACGAGTCACTTTATTCGAATCGCAGTACTGCACTGGAAGGGCGATGGAAGCTTGCAGACGGTTACTGACCTATCTTCTCTCATGGTTACAATCTATCTTTGTAAAGACAACCCAAGCAAAATGGCGCTGCACAGATATGGACCCGTGATGTTTTGCGATGCAAACCGTATGGAAGAAAAAAACTTAAAGGTTTCTCGAATACCTATACAGCAAAAAAAAAAAATAAACATGTAGAGAAAAATAATAATTTAATATTTTTTGACATTATACTTTTCGTCGAATAATACTAACATTCGTGGCGTCTCGAAATATTTTACCTCACATTACTCTTCAACAGTCGCTTTATCAGAAATTGATAATTAAAATCCAATTAGAAGTCGAGCTTCGTCTAATATCCGTTTTAAATAATTGTAGTTTACTCCGTTATATATGTGAAACGAACTCGAAGGTCAAAAGTTCCCGCGATAACTGACCTAACCGAACGCCCACTCAGGTGACGCCGCGACGTCGCGATGCCCACTGCAAGCTCGCTTTTCGTGCAAGCTCTTTTCTCCCTCTCCGTGCCTTTCTATTTTCATCCATCGTTGACTGTGTGCATATATATATATATATATTTAGAAATCCGCGCTTCACCAAGAACGGCTTTAATTATCATCTCGCGACTCAGCGCTGTTTTCATCCTTCTTTTGCTGCGGCCTTCTGTCTCCAGAGAGCATGAAGCTCTCTTCTCTCACATGTGAAGAAGTACACGCACGAGCACGAAATTATTTCTGCTTTCAGTTCTCTTCTCCTATCACGTTGACGTTCGCACGGGAACAACGACTGATTTTAGAAATCTCGTATTGTCAGCGAGTGACGAGCCACGATCGATCGTTGGAATATGAGTGATAATGGATTCTCAGACCACGGCTGAATATGCGTTCTAGTAACACGGATGCTGAAATAATTCCTAGACAGAAATTCCGTGCTTTCACGAATCGATTTCATTATATCGCTAAAACAAAATACTTTTTAGTAATTTTAATAATTATTAATAATTTTATGATTGCATGAAAGGCTTGCATGAAAGGCAAATCGCTATTCTTGGGTTTAGTTTTCAGTGGACATTTAATCTTATTTTAGTATTATTTTTATTATTTTTAATATATGATTGTCATAAATTTTAGATAAAAAATATCAAAAATGATGAGCACTGTCAATGATACGTATTTCTGTCCATCATTTAATTTCCATTGCTTCAAAGTCCAGTCGCGAATTAATAGAATTATTCCATTTGAATTTTTCACAATTCAACGTTGCACGCGCACAGCTATAATTGACTGAAATCAAACTAGGTAAAAGCCTTCGGACGTATTGACACGGCGCGGAGGAAGTCACCGACCGATCGATCGAAGCGTCACGTAGAACGAAGGATTTTGATGAATTTGCATTTTAAATGGTACGCCGAAATATATGAAATCACGTATGAAGATATGAATTGTAATAGGGTTGCTTTATGAGATTTGCACGCAATTGCATAATTCGAGATAATGATCTTGTTTCATTTCCGCACTTGTGTTCGGTAAGATCTTCATCACAATCAAGTTTCTCCAGGAAACTGAATTCGGTCGACTCGGATTTTGCGCGTCATAAAGGAAGCTTCGAAGAATATCGGCGGCCGGAAATAAGCTCCCTTGAAAGCTCCCAACATCGAACGAATGGTACATAATGTCGAACCGGGCTTTGAGCTTTGTAACAAAGTAATAAGTCCCGAAGCTTTAAGTTCCTTCTGTCAGCTAATTACTTTATCCATCGTGCATCTGCACAAGGACGTTCGTTAATAGATTTTAATTCACTTTATATCTTTGCCAAAGGTCGAAATAAAATCACTCAATAGTTGCGTAACTTTTTAGTAGTTCATAGAGATGCACTTGGCTTGAATTAAAAGTTTCCATTTCGCGAATATACACGTGCGCTAGTTACGTTATGTCAGCGCAGCCGGCACGTTCCGAGCCGGAAGCGACTCGATGAATGGAGTTTATGAGAATCCCGTAGTCGTGGATATTGCGAAGCCGCGAAAACACAGAATAATGTATTGTCACGGAGCACCAAGCGAGTGTGAATACTTGGTCTTATAGATTTTTCCATCATTAATGGAATATGAAAACATGCCGAACGCTGTGTACTTCAATTTGAATGAGTTGTTTTCAATATTCAGATATTGAGCGCACGTGATGAAAATATGTTGAATTAATTAATTTAATTAATGAAATATATTACCGAGTCTCTGTAACATATGTTCCCGTTCTCAGAAAGCTAAATATAATTCATCGAGTTATTAATATCTCCTTATATATAGCTTGAAATCAACAACTGTGATTCATTATTACTTATCTTCTACTCTATCATCTAATATAGCATTTGGAGAAAATTTAAAAACTAATACGACATTTATTCCAAGTTTAAATTGCCGAATTGATTTAAAATTCTTTAAGTATACATAATTCAATTGTAATGAAGATTAGGATAAAACAAGTTATGGCTGTTGATATCATCATCGAGCAATATTGCGACAGCGTGTTTCACCGGCACAATTACGCCCATTGGCCTCCCAAAAATTGACTTATTGGATCAGCAAAGTTCCATCGGTTCATTCGGGCAATGTCAGAGCGCGTGCCGGAAACCGGCGAGCTTACATGTGGTAACTCACGATGGCAGAACACTCGCAGGTGACTGTGACTCGCGCAGGGCGTGAGATAGGTTGAATCGCGGACGCACACACAGGTCGCGGGGGCGAGGTTATTGCTATCGCCGGGTTGCACCCCGCGCGCGCGAGCGTCACAACAAACGGAAGCCGGAAGTGGCCGCGGATCGATTCCAGCCCCGGTCGGTCGTGGACCTCGAAAAAGCGGCAGCTCGTCGAGGCGCTGCCGCGGCACGGCACCCGACACGAAACACGGCCAGACTGCGTGGCGACCACCTGTGAGCTTCCTACCGGCGCCGGCGTCGCGACGCCCACGTACTATCCATCGACCGATTCGCTACATGCCGCTCCCCCGAGAGACAGAGTCCGCGTTCCCAGCGTTGGTCAATGACGCTCGCTCTGTGACACTGTCGATAATTTTATAATTTCCCGGCAACATTATCCAGCTGCCATCAAGGGAGCATATTAATAAAAAGCTTTTTTTGTTCTTCCATCAAGTCTCGTTTAAATAAAATTACACCTGATACGATTTTGCACTCGTGTCGGATTATTATTTGGTTATGTCATACACGAAACGTTATTTTGTGCGCTAGTTTGAGTGTAATAATTTTTACAAATATTTCGCGTTACAAAAGATCGATTGAAATATTGAGATACCTGTGATGATGTATGAAGAATTGAAATGAAATTCGAGATATAATTTTGCAAACGTAGTATCAGATTATTTTTTAGTTGTGTGTTGCAACATGAAACGTTATGTTGCGCGTTAATTTAACCTGAATGCTTTTCATAAATATGTTACAAAAAAACTGGTTAAAATATTGAAATAAAATACAATGGTAAATATATTGAAATATAATAGAATTTGTGATATACGAATAGACGGAACATTTCCGAGTAGCGCGATTCTATGAAGATCGACATTACCTCGATTGCAGCTTGCGCTGCATAGTAATCGCTGTAATTACAGTAATTACAACAGTCACGGCCCTTCCGCCTCCGACTTTACTCTCTCAGAAATATTTGTGCTGGACTTGCTTTCAATTTATCGCATGTTTCGCAATATTTTTCAATTAAACGCGTAATCTTAGTTAAGTATATTATAAATAACTTGCAAATGTTTTATCTTCGAAGATTATTGAAGTAAAATAAAGCAAGTAATTTTCTTATCGGGTTTCTTTGATCAAAAATAACAGTTTACAAAATTAAATAAACTATTTTGTTTTGAATAATTTTAAGTGCAATATAGACCTTTTCTATTTAACCTTCATGCATCTCGTGACAATAATAATGTACCGTAAAAAGTTGTAGGCCGCGATGGAAAAAGAGAAGCTTTTATTAGATCGCGGAAATTCTCATGTGAAAAACAATATATATAAAGCTCATGGAAGCTTATATATTTACGTTCTCTATTTCTTACCTCCATCATGGATCACGTAACTCAGGGTCAGATCTCGAAATCCACTGTTCGATATATCGAATAGTTTAATTAACCGAAACACAATTTAATCAATCGCGGTTTGGCAAATGATAAATAATATATCTATAAAATGTGATTTTTTACAAAAGCTATTCAAAATTTTTTTTACACCAATATTAAGCACTAAATTCATACGTAACTAATATTATATTATTGTATTATATTTTAATTGAAATAAAACCCGATTTAATTATCACACACAGCTTTTTATCGAAGATTAATTGAGTATTGTTTCTTATTGAACGATATTTGCTTATGTATTCGCTTATTTGTCATAGAAACAATAGCTGCACTAGAAACACTTGCATCGCGCTTTGCGTCTCGCGCGCGAATAAATCCTGACTCTATGATGGACGCATGATGTCTGTCGGGATCCTTTCTCTTTCTGAAACCGCGAGTTGGCGGTGGATATTCTTGGAAATCGAGGCAAGTAACTTGATAATGTATGCAAAAGCCTTTCGTGTCAAATCTATTTTTATTTTGGTGTGAAATAACACTGTGAGAGAGAGAGAGAGAGAGAGAGAGAGAGAGAGAGAGAGAGAGAGAAAGAGAGAGAAATTCGAATGACTATTTTAATATTATATAGAATTATTGACCGATTTTTACTGTTTTATTCATGACGACTCTAGATGGAGAGAAATGTCTCTCGGGATTTTTACGAAGTATCTCTTCTTTGAAATATTGGTCTGTCCATCGGATTTCTTTGAAGTCTAACATTAATCTTTCTCTGTCCGTCATATCAAAAATAAAAGATTATTGCGGAAATTACAGAGCGATAAGGCACACAAAGAATTGTGTAATCCATTGCAATTTCAAAGAAATCGATAATACATCTATTCTCACTTGATATTATAATATCTTTTATCTTCCGAGAGTCTGTATTTTGGATATATGCACAAAGGAATATATTTCTCTCCAACGGTAAGGCTTTGTTTCACTCGGCAATCTTCCGATCGAACCGGATTTCTATTGTATTTCTTCTCGTTCACTAACTGCACTAGTTGCAAGAGCGCGATAACATTTGCGCAACAGTTATATAATTCAAATATAAAGGTAATAATGAGTGAGTTTAAATTCAAGAGGCCTGTGTGTGTGTGTTTGTGTGCGCCTTCCTTTTTTTCATGACAGAGTTCAATGCCACCGCTTGGTGAACGTGACCACATAGTATATGTACATGGTAACTGCAAGCACGCATAGCGTTCGGACCTGAACAGTCCTCTCGATTTTATTCACTGGTCCTTGACTCGATTTTTCGGTCGTTGCAATATAAATACGGGCTGGTCGATAAGTTCAAGGTTCGCGCCATGGCCGAACCGAAGCCTCGCACATTTATCAGCTCGTTAACTGCGCTCCCCTTTCACGTAGTTTGAAACGCACCGCACATTTTTCTCGTTTACGCAAGATTAATTAATGCGCGCTCAAGCGCAAAAGCCATTTTTCAAAATGTGCGCCATTTGTAGCAAATTTATAATTTTGACGAGAAATTAAGTGACATGCGCAATAAATTTGGAAGGAGATTTAATATTTCGCGAAATTCTGAGAATCAATTTGGACGAGATATATTAAATCATTGTGTAATATAAATTATTTAATTATATTTTGGAATAATTAAAATTTTATTATTGTTGTATATTTTATAGATCGAGATATTTTATTTTTATATTGTTTTACGTGTACCGCGTCGCACATACTTTGTTTTTGGTTTTTGTGAAACTTTAAGCCTCTACTTTATGCACACCATTTTGTGTGAATCTATTTCATGCGTTTGCTACACGCAACTAACTGAAAATCGATATAGCTGGCATGGTATTGTTTTGCTAGAAAGTCATTGACCTCGAAACTAAAAAGTAGTACTACGCTTTTGATTGAGATCATGAACCAAGCCATAAATTTTATAATTGGCAATGATCGTTTTGCACACAAAAATTCCAAACGCACACACGTAGATAATTTCATGCTAATTGATTATTGAAATTTTAAATTTAATGGTATTTTTGCAATTTAAATTGTGTTATTGTTTCTGCCGAAATCACATGGAGTTATTAAATGTATACTGATGAAAGATGATAAAAGATTATGATAAAAATTTACGAGTTTTTGGAATTTAAAGTTTGAAAAAATTCATATTGTTTAAACTTTCTCTCATTAATCAACTGTTGAAGGATTTAATTAATATTTTGATTTAGCAACTTTGTAATTTTCATCACATACCCGCTGTGAAATTCCAATTTTACTACCGTCTCATATTTCACATATTCGCGGCGTCAGGATCGATTATCACACCCTAATTAAACCTCCCCCTATTTCTCGCGTCGGTTCGTAATACCGGCAAATTGCCGAAGCTTGCCGGAAGTCAGTACGTCGAGCATGCACGTGACACAAACATTTGCCGATTGCCGCGCGCGCAACACGTAATTCGCAATACAAGACGCTCAACACACAAAGGCTCGGAACACTATAAGACACCTATGAGAAGTTCACACATGGCAGACATACTCACGCGTCCATTAATCGGGGAAGCAACTCTGTGCCATGGGCAAGTCTCGTCCCTGACCTCCCAGAGTCGTCCTGAAGGCAGGACGACTCCTCGTCGCGAAAGGCTTCCTCGTCGCGGTGCTGCGAATTTGTCGTCGGTCGGCTCGCAGGGAGTGAATCTTCACTGAACGAAACAACGTGGCGTCGATAGGCGCTACCTTAAAGCAACGTGCTGCTCGGCGTTAGGCGGATGTAAACAAGGACACCGCCGAGCTTGCGCCCTGTCCGGAAGCTCCAGCCGCTCTTTCCGTCCTTTCCGGCGGGTGGCTTCTTCGTCTTTCCACCCTCTCGCACTCTCTTCCTCTTCCTTTTCTTGTGCGATGCGTATTGCGTGGTCCCTGGTACGCCCGGTACGCGTGTGCGTGCACAATTTCGGTCGGTCCCGGCGAGCGTGCCGGCCGGCTGATCTGCCTCTTCTTTCAGTACGTCTGCGACGCTGCGCGGCCGCCCATGGCGGTGTAATGGCGACGCTCAGTTGGTTATGGGGGTCGCCGCGCGCGCGAAGCCACCCCCATGCAATGTGGAAAGGCGATCAATACCTAACTCCCGCGATTCCCGCTTTTCCACCCCGTGGACGTTTCTCTCTGTCCCCCTTCGTACGCCGTTGCGCCTCTATGTTGATGTCGGTGTTACGCTGCTCGTAGCGGCGGTGGCCGCTGTCGTTGTTGCGTCGAAACTGCCTCATGGAGCGAGCCTCGCTTCGGGGTGTACGACAGTTTCAGGGTTATTACAGGTGGTATGGTAGGGTTAATGCTAGCGCGCCGGTCTTTGTTCTTTTTTTTGCGACCGTGACGCTTCACGACGCTTCGATAAAAAGTGCAAAACTAGCTAGAGGTGGCCGGTAAAGAAATGAGCACTTCATGTAGCCGAAAATTTATTTAGTGTCTTCGATTATACAGTATAATAATTAAATCAGTAAAAATTGATAAAATAGGTAAAAATTTTGTTGTAATAATTCTTTTCACAACTGATACACGCATAAAGGTAATATAAAGATTTTAATCATATTGTAATTATATATCGATTACAATAAAAAAAATCTTATCCGTCTGTCATCTAATGTCTGTCTCTATGTGTATATGAATTTATTGTCTTTTGTTGTGTGCCGTCGAGGAACCCAAGCCGATTCAGCAGTTTGTGTGTGGCGAGTTTATTGATTTTATACGTTATGACTTAAACGGCTCCGTGTAACGATGACTACGGGGTTGTATCGCGGGGTTTGACGACCAAAATGCACCCTCTTTCGAGTGCCTGGAACCAACGCCGACGCGAGGGGTAGATTTAGCTTATAATTACGGATACTTCCCCCACGGACGATCAGCTATCAGGCTGCCTAAACGAGATCGCGACGCTGTACAACGGATAATGGAGGATGTCGTTATTCTTTTGTCTTCGGGTTTTGGTATCGGTTTTCACGAGACATGAATATTCGCGTGCCCCTCGGTCGCTTTTACTGCGCGGCAGCCCGATCGAGAAGATCGCGGTGATGTTATAACGAGGTTAATTTGCAAGCGAAAGTAGGGTAAACTTTTTACGTAGTATCTGCCTCCTAGAGTCGACTGACAAGCTATTTTTATTGTTACGGAGTATCGTAATTAAAGTCCAGCCATTCAGAATTACCGTCCTTTTCCGTGATAGAAGGAACTCGAGTAATTATTTATCCGCATCTGGCAAAAGCATTCTTGTACAATTATTAACAAACATATCGCCCCAGTTTATTACTTTCTCATTAATTAGCCTGAAATAATAATATCATCAATAGCGAGAGAAATCTCTCTCATCTAATTTATTTATTATCGCAATTTTCTTCCATCATCGCAAATTGATTATATAAAACGCAGCGAATAAACACTCTAATGCGATTCTGTTCACTATCGGATGCACTTAAGCATCAATGCACTTCCATAAGAACGCTCGCCTCTCTAATTCATATATCTTCCGGGCGAAAAGCGATAGGCAGATCGCGGAGGACGCATTTAGAAGCACACCGAGAGCACACCGACGCAGCAGCAGCAGCAGCAGCAACCTGCGAGCAAACATTTGGTATTAAATCGAGCACGCAACAAGGGTCGTTCCGTTCGCACGCTCTCTTATGCAACGATCCTCTCACGCGCTGCGCGGTAAAAACGGCCCCCGTTTATTGTGCACGCGGTGCATCCCGCACTCGCAGACTCGATTCACACTCCCTTTTTGCAGCTCTCGTAGACTCGCAATATTGACGCTCGTGAAAGCCAAGCTAATAAAACTAGTGCTTGCATCGCAACAATTTTCAAAGTAATTTGCGTAATTGCGCGACAATGTGCACATTTAATGCGCACGTTGATGCATAATGAATTAATTAATTATTATTAAAACGAAACAGATATAATCTGCTGTAATTATGATAACGTGTTTGATCCATCAGTGAAATTTAAAAGTATCATTAAATTTTCAAGGTAAGCCGCGATTGAGAATTTAGATATCGCGCATGCTGTAAATACGAGAGATCTTTAATTAAGCCAATAGGATGCCGCATATATGTGGAAGTGGTTTCGGCGATACGTCGACGTTAATGAAACAATGATCGCAGTTGAATCATTTTAGTACCATTTTATTTATGTGAATTGAGCGAAATATCTGAGCCAATCGAATTGACTCGACGATAGAGTAATTAATAGGGCGTGCTCCATTTATCACTTTAGCTAATTACATCTCAAGAGCACTCAGGAGAGCGCTTCCGTTACGTCAACGGCATATTCAATATGAAACACTCGCGATTACTCTCTCCACGCGTCTGTTTTCAAATGTAACAGCGATAAATTAATTTAGTTAATTCGCTACGCCAACACACTCATCGCAATATAATATATTAATACCTCATAATACGCGACTCAAGCTTTGCTTAATTATTAATAGCGCAATTAATATTAATAATCCATTATTAATTTTCACAGGCAAATGTGTCAAATATTTGTTAATTAATTTAAAGAGCAAAGCGGAGTGTGATTGCGCTAGGTAATTCGATTCTAATTCATTTCTAACACTTGACGCGTTTCACGTGTTGTGGATTATAAAATTAAAGCAATGAAATAGCAAAGTTGAAAGTGCATTTTAAAATTGTAGCCATCGGTATGATGTCAGAATTGCAACGAAATTATGATTTATCCGTCAGAGAATGTTGATTAAATTGTTCTCGGAGCTTCAATTCGCACGATTGCGAAGAGAAAGTCGCGATACGTGCCGACTTTGTTAGATTCAGGGTTTGAGGGTCGATCACCGGATGACCTTGGACCCGAGGAAGGTCTACCTCAACATCGAGACATCACGAACGTACTCGCGGAATCGACGCCGGAATTGCGAGTATTTAGGTCGGCACGATTGCTTTCTCGGCCACGACTCGCCATCTATTTGAATTATTCGCTGTCATCCTCGCATTGTTAATGGCTGCCTATCGCAGCACGAAGCAAACTGCCATTACATAGAAAGTTAGATTTTAGGTGTCTCGAAATCCCTGTGATTGAAGCCTCGGTGTCGCTTCTCCATCGTGCGGCCAGGCATAATAGAAATGCGGTTTGTCAATTCGACATTGTACTTTCTAACTCGCCAAAGATTAATCTTACGATTTCATTTGTGGGAGTGATCGTGAGTGGCAAATAAAACGAACCGGTTTCGTTATTGCGGACGAGTGTATTGCAATTCGTAAGGTACAAATAGTACAAAGGGTATAAGAGTACAAACATTGCGTAGGAACTAGATTATGCGGACATAGAAAAAGTACAGAGTTTAGAGACGTGATATAGTAAAGAGAATTGCCCCGTTTTCCTCTTATATCACTCGCAAATGCGAATTGCGTCCATCGTGATTTCGCCCTGATTTTATCTATTTACGGAGAAGACTCGTGCCGGGAACCGGTAAACGCGTCAACGATGTGCACGAGAGAAGACTGTCGTGAAAAATCGGCGAATCTCTCACAAGAGATTCTCCTTTGTAAAATCGAAGATGAGATGTAAATAATTAGGCTCCGCAACAATCGCATCTAAATTATCTGAATTTTAATATATCAAAACTTTTGTCTTGCCGTTCAAATATCTACATTGTTCCTTGTGTCGTCGCATTCTCGTTCCGTCGCTCATCGCGGAGCGACTTTTCCGACTATTCTAATTAGGACGAAGACGTAGGCGAAGAAGGAAAGCGAAGAAACACATGGGATCTCGGCACGAGTCCTCAGGATTCTCAATAAACGTAACATGTCGCGCGTAAATCCTATGTCAGATGTTATAATAAATATTATAATAGAACAACGTAATAATAAATATATTTATATCTTGTATATATAAATATGTGTGTGTATATATATATTATATATATTTATATGCTATAGGAAGAAACATGTCGACACAACTAGCGCTAAACACCGAGAGAATTCGCTTTATTGTATACTCTCCTCCGTTTATTTACAGCCCTCTTAGAGAAACTATATCTTACAAAAAAATCGACCGGATAACTATAATTCGCAACGGCGATAATCGATATCAAAGCTTCTAGCACGAAACACGTATTATCTATGAACGCCTACATCTCCGTTATAAACCCGAGGGACTTTCCCTCCTTTCTCTTCGTCTTCCTTCATCATTCCATGTACAAACGCACACCCGCACGCACGCACGCACGTACACACGCATACACACACAACGCACTCGCAGACGCGCACTCGTACGTAATCGCACGTCGATTCGTTCGTTCGCTTTTGTGATCTTCTCTCTGTCATCGCATCTGTCCAGTTGAGCGTAAAAGAAACTCAAGTAGGTCGCTTCAGTTTCGAGATCGCACTCGGCCGCGATCGGTCTTGATCCCCTTTATCTCTTATCAGAGTTCGGACAGCGCTCTTCTCGACGGATTAAGGCTTAATGATATGATCAGCCGTTGTACTGTATTTCTACCTCGAACGTACTAGCTTTTCGTCCCTATCGCTCCGCATCTAGCTTTGAAAATTGCACGAGCTTGCGATAAGCACTCGTCAACCGATTTGATCCTGATCACCTTTCTGAATCCAACGTAAAATAAGTTTCTCTTGATAATAGAAATTCAACGCCGACAATAAAATATCTGTGTACTATAAGTCATGATTCTAATAGCGGTACTAATTATTCTCGTCTCTACGAATTTGTTGTTTTTTTTTTTTACGATAATATATGTAAAATATTACAATTTTTCTTGTGCGTAAATCTCTTTGCGTATAAAAGGACTAAAGTTTTGCACTTCCTTTCAGGATATTTAATATCTACGTGGTCTTTTGTCTCTTTATCGAATTACAGCGGCTCGAAAATACAAAGTCCGCGGAACGAGCGTCGATTTCGAGTTTGCTAAATAGAAAATCAAGAGAAATTGATCCTTTGTATTCTCAGTTGTATTAAAATATTTCTAATCGCTGCGATCTTTGCTTGCTTGTTAATTAGATAATGGAAAATTTGTACAGTTGTTTCGCATTAACGTTCGATAATTTTGTTCGCTACGAAAATCCCTGGCTACATCACTGCGCTAAAATATTGTCCCCTCTTTCTATCGAACATACTCGTAACTTATTTCTCCCACCGCTATTCTAATTCTCGAACCATCTGCATGGACGATTGTTGTTTTAAGCTGCAGTTTGTACTACGTGGAAGACGGATGAAACACTGTCCGCGAGAATGTGCCTTAGGTCGCGAGCATCGAACGATCGGATTATGTTCTAGAGGATTTCGTTTGAAGCGGATCAGGATTACTCGACGTCCCGATCCCTCCTCTGACGTTCGTTTCAGTCTTTCGGGCAGGAAAACTCTTCCCGATTTCTCATTCGTCACTCGGAGATAAATAGAAAAATTTATCGAACGAAGTTTCATTGTTCCCGTGTGCGTCGAAGACCTACGTCAGCCTTTTCGACCTGATTGGTTCTAAGAAAGATCTAATTCTTCTATTTCTAACGAGTGATCTCTAACACTTCGTCACCTAAAAATTCTGCTTTTGGTCACAAGCGATAAAATTCAAATGTATAATGAAAATCATGATCAATTGTGTTTCTCCATAACTTGCATCGGATCTTTCCTTTTTCTTTCGATCGAAAAAACGTATTCGAGTATCTCTAAACGAGAGGAGAATTTAGAATATATGTGATAGATACGCATGTATATAAGTGATACGTGTGCGTATATATGTATGCAATATGTATTGATTTTATGTCTATCGATGAACTCCATCTCCATGAGGTTTTGTAGGGCTGACCAGTTGGATCGAGTTCGAGAAGTACAATTGATTCTTTCACTTTCCAAGATATTTTTCATGCGGCGGATAAACAATCCTTTTCTTATCTCTTCATTGATTTCGTACGAAACCGTGCCGATTGGACGGCAGATAACGGAAAGGGATCGTTTATCCGCTATTATCGCGATGGAGCTTTCTTTTTGTCAAGTGAACTTTTGTTCACCTTTACGGAAATTTTCGTGCGGTCATTCTTGCTCGATAGGGTCATCGCTTCGGGCGAAAGCTGCGAGAAATGGCGAGCGATTGATATCAACGTATACACGTGACGTCCCTTCGTCGCGTAAAACCCGAGATTGTGTTAAGTGCGCTCGTGCGGTTTGCAAATCTCCCTATCTCGCATAGCTTTTGCAGCACGGTGAAGTTCAATAGAGGCTATTTACAGATATCAATGAGTAAGAGGATTATTTATGTGGAAATCTCTAAAAGGTAGCCGAGTTGGGATTCGAGGAGATCGTATATAATATTGTATTTCGATAAATCGGCTTATCGGCAAGGGGATCTGAACATACGTATCTCTGGGGTTAATCTACTTTTTTAGCTTGCCAAAAATTGTTTTTCCAACATGACCTTTCTAAGAATAATTCTCAGTCAGCTAATCCATTGATACAGCGCAAATCTTGCAGCTAGATCGCGGCGATATTTTGCCGCGATCTATCCGCAAGGTTTGTACTGCGAGACACGACACTGTTGTGTAAATTTTATGAATACGTCAACATTTATACCGATGAAATAAATCTGTACAAGGCTAGCTAGAGACATTGACTTTTCGACAAACGACGAAGTAAGCTACTGTTTATGGGACAGTTTGAGCACCGCTTTCGGCCGACGCATTCTTCTCTAATCGATTCAACTACGTGTGAATTATCCAGTCGCTCTTACGAGCCTCGAATCTATTTACTGTATAGTTTTCCGAAATACCCTGGAATCGATGCAAATCACGATGCATACGAACTGTGGTGTACGTGTCGTCGCGTTTTTCTAGAAAAATCCGCCTAAAAAAAATGATCGATGTCTACTCCTTGTATCGGCGTCCAACGAAGTTTCCCTCTTCAACACGGTTTTCGCGCCAGCCTCGACGGTCGTCGCGACCCGGCATTTCTCTCGATCACATGAAATACGCCGGATCGTTCTCCGCAATGACATCGAGTCTTGACTGTTGGCTCTTGGGCCGCTGCGGGGCTCCCCCGGTCTTCCATATGACCTCGCGGGAGCCCTTGCGTCACATGTAGGTCGGCTTGACCTTGTAGGCCCGCTTCCACACCTCGCACAGGCAGACGGTGCTGTGGAACCTGTAGAATATCGCCAGCGGCATCGAGACGTGGGTGATGATCGTCCACGCCCACAGGCCGTAGAAGTGCAACTGCACCGGATGCGACTCCGCGCGGGACTTCTCCAGCGTGTTGATCGCCCACATGGCCAGATTCGTCACCAGCAGGAACGTCACGATCTCCCTGCCGGGCTTTCGGCGTATCTGTTCGGCGGTGGCGACCGAGCGTCTGGACGCGTCCAGAATGAAGATGGTCTGGCAGGTGGTTTGAACGACGCTGGCCAGCGCGGTGACCAGCACGAGGATCGTGTCCTTCTTCAGGGTGAAGTGGCCGCCGATGATGGTGAACGTGGAGTAGATGAACATGCCGGTCTGCGCGGCCACCAGCAGTATATTGTCGAGCTCGAGATTCCGGCCGCCGTCGTAGCGCAGCCTGCGCATCTGGAACATGCCGAGCAGCGTCGCCAGGGTGGACATCCCGTAGAGCGTCAGCTCGCACACGTTCACCTCGGTCACGGCGAGGCTGGTCAGCTCGGGCCGCGAGATCAGCACGAAGAATAGTATCAGCGAGATTATGGTCAGCACTAGAATCAGGATACCGACGAAGAGGCCCTTGTGCGCGCGCGCGCAGTCCACGCTGTAATGATGCGGCGACTTCCTGCGGATAATTAGACGATTCCTTGAGAACGCGTGACACGCGGATTTCGTGACTCGGTGACGTAAATTCTAACGGTGCTTCTATCATACGCCGGCTTTGTTCAGGGATTATTATTCGCACTTGACATTTCGGTAAAAGCGCCGCGCGCCGCGCTGGCAATTTGTTCGCAAACTGGGTTGTCATTTGCATGCCTCTGCGGTAACGTGTATTGTAATAATATGTATTGTAGTCTCCGCACCTGTGTAGCCGCGTATTGTCACTGCGATCGTAGGAGAGTGTATTGTTACCTGTACCTGTAGGCGTGTGCGTGATGACGCGAGCCGGGCGGCGTGGTGGGCTGCGTGAATCCGGCCTTTGATATGTTTTTCCACATTACGTATAAAATAGCCGCGCAAATCAAGCTGTACTCTATCGTGCAGGGGAAGAGGAAGGGGCTGGCGTCTTGTACCAGCGATCCCATTATATTCGTTCTTCTGCATTCGAATATGTGATGCGGTCCTTTGAGACCGCGCGGAAGTCGCACGTGTTCCCCGTGATGACCGTGCAGGTGACCGCCGAGATGGACTCCTTTCGTGCCTGTGAAAGTTTCAAAGTCTCAGATAGCTCGTCGGATCGTGCAACGGCAACCGGCATCTTTTTCATCGCACTCACCCAGTCTGTGGGAAATTCTGAGGGAATTGTTCTCTGGATTATAGAAGGTGAGGATCTCGTGTTTCGTTTCTTGCACAAGAACGTTTAGCCAAACTGACAGATTCGTGCCGATCATATGCATTAGCCCGAAACGCGCAACTACGCGGTGACGGTAAACCTTCATTTGCTGGAACATGATGGCGTTTTATTATTCCATTATTAAAATGAAAATTTTTATACATTTTATTCATATTTGTGTTAATGTATTTTTCATTTCGTCAAAATAAAGTTAATTGCGTCCATTTGCTCGTACAAAAGCACGCATATACACAATTCATAACTGATTAATATAAAATGGAAAAAGGAATGAATTTTTATTGCACATGAAGCATATTTTTTTATTGATACATTTTTTGATTCAAGTAAATAAAGCTTGATGGGAGTTTAGTATTACATTTTGATACTTGTAGCGAAAAAAAGATTAGTTTACAAATCGATAGAGCACTAGAGCGCTCTCTCCCTCGCTCTCGTATAGCCATGTCCCACTATTGCTCTTAGGGTTGTTCACCCTTCTGTTTCATTAACTCTGTAAACGATGGAGCTCGGTACCTCCGTTAGTTATTCCCCATCGAGTTACAACATCAAAGTTTTCCGATATAACACGTGCAGCGAATCTCAAGGAAAGTCGATACAGTAGCTTTATGTACGGATATTTATCTCCTCTAAAAAATTGTTTATATTGGTTGTTGCAAATAAGTTTTTTAAAATTAATCTCAAGTACACCTTGCTCTAATATCTTAATTTGAGTCTCCACAATTCGTCGCAAAGATATCTAATGCTGAACACAAAGAATCAAAATGTGCGAGAATAGTTATTAAAATCAACGGCGGCCCTTGATATTCTCGCTAAAAGTCGATTCCAAGTTGATTGAGCATCCGTGATTGCAATTAAGATCGCGAGTTGCGAGGCAGCTTAGCACATGTCATTCACACTCGACGTCCACTCACCTCGTTGTTCAGGAATATGAAGTACATCTGGATGAAGATGAAGGCCATTCTCGTGGCGGGCGTGAGGGCCAGCATGATGTTGTGACACTTGGTGTTCTGCTCCAGCTCGAAGTACTGGCCGAATTCCAGGCCGGAGTAGATCATCGAGCCGATGCCGAACGCGACGGCGCCCATTCGCAGGTAGAAGCTGCCGTAGTGCTGGACCGGACGCACCGGATGCATCATGTGCGGGCATCCGGTATCAGGCGTGTCGCTGTCGCCACCGGCGCCGCTCGACGATCTCGACGAGTCCAGATCGCACACGTCCTTCTGCTTCTCTGCTCCGCGAGTTCGCGATTCAACGACAGACTGATTAATATCCGAACGGCCGATATCAGCGACAACGATCGTCGTTGTTTCGCTTGAAATCCGTCTCTCGCTTCCGTTTCGGCGATCGCTCCCGGCCGGAGAGCAGCGAGGTCATCGAAATGACACGTAACGTTGCGCCACTATGCGCGTGGATGTAAATTGATTGGAATGTAGGGCCGCGATTGCCAAAGCGGCGTGATTTCGCGTCTGATCGGAGGGAGCTTCGTCTAATTTCATCAAATCTAGAGAGTCACGCTCTCTTTATTGGTGCTCTCGCAGGAAAGGTGGATCGATACTTGCTTGTAAGTCGGGATTCTTTATCTCGCGGCGGAAACGGAAATCGAATAAAAATAAATTTTACGAGCATTATGAACTCACTTGGTTTCGACTTGCCGTCCCTGAACAACATGATGTACATGTACACGAGGAAGATCATGCTGCCGAAGTAGAGGTAGAGGTAAAAAGCCTCGTAGAACGACGGCGGTATGTACGTGGATATTACTTCCGCCATGGGAAAGGCGATCCCCATCACGACCAGAAGTTTCCCGTACAGCGCGCTCAAAGTGGTCGCCAGGGCGTCGCTGCAGCAGAAACGGAAATTGAAGCTGAATGAATTCGCGGATCCGCATCACGCGCGGATTAAATCCTCGTGGAGGAAATAGATCCATCTCCGGCCGCGCCTCGAGGAACCGTGTTCCTCTTCGGTTACTACTTGCCGGCTATCAAACGGATCTTCATTCGCGTCGACGAGGCACTCTATAAATCCGTCCGTCTATAAACCCACGTCGGTTTTTATCAGCGCGAAGGGAAATTTGAATTGACGAGTCGCGTCGAATGAACCGAATCCTCTCGCGCAAGCCCAGACATTTTATCGCGATTATCGCGATAATTAATTTTATTCGCTTCAATCGCAATCTCGCTGTTGATTTCTTTCGGTACAAAAGTTTCTGCGGCTAGTGCCTTTCACGGCCGTGACCCGAATGAAAACGTCTTTTCGAAGGAATCATTGAAAATGGGAGATTGAGGGCAGCGCGCGAATGATGGATCGTTAGCTCGATGCCCATCATCGTGTAACATCACACAGCGGAGGTACCATTGGCCGCAAATACATCCACCCCCGTAAGAATTGGCTCAATTACGAGTAATCGCGTGGTCGCCTGTGCGCGTGTGTTTGATTCATAAAGTACCGGTAATTGCGATGGAGACGTCGGTCAGGATAACCTGGAGGATCACGTGAAATTTCCGTGGCGACTCGTGGCATTCCCCCTTCGCGTATGTCTGTCGTGAACGAAAGCGAATTCAAATCGCGAATCTTCGCGAAACGCTCGGCGCAAACGCGAAATTCGACAAAAGAGACGAGTTCTGACTTGGGTAATTTTTTTTGTGGAATTTTATTCACGCAACAACGTATCATAAATAATAACTGTTTCGCCGAATTAACAATTCTATGAATAACGCTGCTACGATTTTAAAATCGCCGTGTCGCCTCGGAAAATCAAGCGTTGCTGCAAATAGTATTATAACACACGCAAACATTATTACTAAAATGTCTGGGCTTAATAATTCAATTATTATTAATGAAAATCCAACTGCGCCGCCGCGTACAAGATTACTACGTGTGGCTTTCTCTTGCAAATAATTACATTTTACGCGAAACAGCTAAATTAATCGCTACAAACATAATGTTGAATTGCCGCTAATGAAGTGCGGTTGCAACGCCGAGAAAGCGCCCGAATCGATCGGAAGAGAGTGCATAGACCTCGATGCGAGATGTGGCGAAACACTTGATCCGCTACTCACCAGCCAAGGTTCTTCCACTTCCGCTCGTCGGTGACCTCGAGGAAGGTCGGCGCCGGATAGCAGACCGCCGGAATCGGCTGCGAGGAACATGGCAGGGCTAACGCGAACTGGGGTGGCCGATGAACGCGAGAGGGTGAACTGCTGCTGTGTCTAGACAGCGTTTCCGGCGAGACGATTACCGCGGATGGCGAGGCTGGTGACGGTAGCGCGACCGGCAGTCCTGGCCAGCTGTATAAAGCGCATCCCGTTATTATCTCCTCCGTCTAGCTTCTTCGGGATTACAACGTCTCGGGCTCGCATTCGTATTTCACGTAGTTCTCCGTTGAAATAAAAAAACATCTCTCTATTTCTCTTACTTTCCGTCTAATAATCGATAAGAAACGAGAAAAGTATGGTGAAAATTCTTTCATCAGAAATATTTCGTAAAATTCTCTCGGATCTTCAAGCCGTTTTATTTTGTAAATTATTTCACCTCTCGAATTTTTATTTATTTCTGAATATAAAGAGAGGTAGCGATAATAATTAAATTTCGAAAATGAGAAACAGTCAGATTTTTTATTATTTCTAAGTTTGATTTACGAATGCAAGCCCTAACAGAATTATATGCAAAGATATAAGCTATATTTCTTCTTAATAAGCATACTTTGGTGTTTGACTGAAGATGAATGTATTTGGGTGTGTTTTCAAACGTGACGTCAATACGCCATTTGCAAAACCTCTTCACCTTCATTTTTTATGTATTTTGCATGACGCCACGTGGGAATTACGGGTGATCTCGAGACCACGCCCTTCCATCATCTGCCATTAGCGATTTTAATTAATTGATAATTCTTTCGATAAGCTTCATAAATTGCTTCAATTATTCTTTAACAGTGATGGCTTCGTGCGATAATGGAAATTCATTTATTACGACTTTAATTTTATATATTTTCATTTAATAATCCACTCTCTTTTAATTAGCCATATTAATAACCACTTATTCTCTGTATATAGCGTATGAATTCGATAAAAATGTAGGTACAAAAAGAAGGAGATTAGTTAATTTCGTGCACGCACGTTGTGCATGATTTTTATATGAACTCACACGTCCGCCTGATTTAAGGTCAACCCGGTGTCATAATGTTTGACACATTACATTGACACTGGTTGCAGGAAAAGATCGACTAGTGCTGATGGCTTTGCGAGTATCGTGAGATGGCGTGACGTTGACTTTCTAACATAGGTCGTCCATTTAAAAATAAACTGGTCTATTTAACTTGACACTCGATAAAACGTACTTTTTTCGCTTTTTTTTACGCGCGCGTAGATTTCTCAATACATGAACTTAACAACGATTGATTCGAAAAACTTATTTGCAGAAAAGATAATTGTAATATAAAATGATTGAATCGTCATAAAAAACTCAAGATTTGATAGCAAATTTTATTTTCACAAAATTTCGCACTAAAATCTAATAAAAGCGCGTTGTCATAATTCACCGTCTGCGTCTTGTCAGCGCAAAGTGTAATCTGTCTTACTGTTATATCTCACTCCCCCGCTTCTAAAATTCTCGATCCCCGTGCTACCTTAACCCAGCCCATAAATTTCGTCAAATTTTAATCAAGGTGGTTTGGAAAAAAAGGTTTACGCGAACCACCGTCCTTCCTTCGCCGTCGCAACTATCGTCAAAATTGCACACTTCTGATGCTTCCGACATTTCACGGGCTGTTCCGCATACTTAAGGAGATAAACGATCCGTAGCGTACGACGACCTGCCCCTACGATGTCGGGAGTCGACAGGGATGAGGAAAGGGGTGCGGAAAGGATTCCAGTCCTTTTCACGGGGGCGCACGCGGGCGGCGTAAAAATATTTCGCAGAAACGTGGCTTTGGCGCGATACGGCGGCCGCGATGGGGTGGGCGCAAGCTCATCTCGTGCCTCCGAGCTTTTTGAAATAATCACGTAGCGTTGTGAAGCGTTGGAGCGAGAGAGGGTGTCGTTGGCCGAGTAAGGGCGGCAAGGGCGGGAGGGCACTGAGAGGTTGATTCAGTGGTTGAGTACCGTCCCTCGTTGCGAAGGGCGAAGGGTATACGTGGCTTGAGGACCCGGGGCGTTGCACACCCTTCGGTAGAAAGACCTTACGCTACCTTGCGCCCTTCGACGGTCCTTAGTACCTTTTCCCTTTTTTCGCAACTCTTCTCGAGCGAATCTATTATATTATTAACATCTTTTTCCACCGGGCTTTGACACAATGCTCTGACCTGCTTCTCTCGCATAATTGAGATACTCAAAAAGTTCAATGCACGTTCTGTTCGCAGAAGCGGATAAAATTGATTGCATCGTGTTTCTTATTTTCACGAGAATCGGAATATATCGCGTTTGCTGAGAAATCACATCGAGTTTGCAAATTTATCGAACAGATATGTCTCGAGTGTTTTATGCACAAAGGCAGTCCGTTATTTTCTTCGCAATTTTATGCACGACGTCGCATCTCGGTGCAATTTTCTTCGCGTTCCGCGAAGATGACGGCGGCGTTTCGCTTGAATTCAATTGCCACGCAGCCATTGTTAAAGCACATCTCTTATTCAGGAACTTGGCGACCCTTCGCGCAGTTCCTTTGAACTTTGCGTCTCAGAAATTCCAGCTCGCTAGCCCTTTTCTTTTCCGTCAGTTTCCGCGTATTACGACGGGAATTACGCTTCCGCGTTGTCTGTCGGCGAACAACATCGATCCTATCGCTCGTCACTTCGTCGTCCGTCATCTCCTATCCCTTGCACATCTTTTAACATTACTTCCCCCCTTTTATCCGATTTATCCTATTCACGCAGTAAATTCCTGACGAGAACTTTCCGTCTCTCTCAACGTCAGATAAAAATATGATCGATGACCGTGGAATAGAATTTCTACTTTAGAACCATGTCATTATTAAATTTTGCATTGACGCGCGTGCAAGTGAACGCTCCGATGAAAGCTTTTATACCCCTAGGTATAATCAATTTCGAGCACAACGTAGCGAAATCATGGTACCTGAGGGACGTCTCCTTGATAAGCATACCCGTGACCTTGATTCGCGCTTTTCTCGATCGTCTCGGTGGAACGTTGGCCCTCATGAACGGCCCTCACCAACGGATGACACAATCACGGCCCTCTGGCTCGTGACACGGCACTCGCGGACCCCGCATCACAAACTGAGGCCCTAACCGGGGCAGACGGGCTCCCTGACCATCGTATATATAGATCGATCCTACTCGCTGCATATTATCTCTCTCTCTCTCTGTCCCTGCCTGGATGCACGACCGTTTGACAGCGAGCTCGTTAGCGGTGTATCAAATTTGCAGCGGCGTAACACGTCGTTACATCGCCAGCGGACCAGCTGATCGCTTTGTCTCGATTACGTGCCGCGAATTCGGGAAATAACCGAAAGCGAAAGGGCTCGCGTGCCGGCAACGAAGATCAACAGGAGTTGTTCGGACGAAAAAGCACGCAACGCGCATTATACGAGAAAAATTGGCGATAAAAAGATACTTCGTAATTGGCATAGGAATATTAAGATTTCGCGTTGATAACAAAATTAGCAACGCAATTTTTGCATAAGAAATTTTTGCATAAAATTGAAAATAAAATAAATTTTTTCGATATAAAATTGGAATTTTTATAAAATTTAATTTGAGAATCCAATAATTCTAATTAGTTTTTTTATCGTAAAAAAACTTTAGCATGCTCTGGAAAGGGTGCGCCGCGTAAAAATTCTTTCGAAGATCCATGAAAGCGCCAAATGCTCCAATATTCACACGCTTCGACTTTTATTCCGTCTGCCTACCGAGATCGGCGACCCTCGTACATTCACTGGAAAATATCCGACGGCATTCCCCCGGCACCACCGTGTCTACCATATTCCCATCAAGACGACAAATTCGACGCGAGAGAGAGAGAGGTCCGTCCGCCGGAGGATTGTGGGATATAAATATTCTGTCCACCGACGCTTCTGGTATAACTGGAAAATTTTTCATTCCGGAACGAAATGTATCAGACGCGTATAGTACATTTCGCAGACAATGTTTCGCGTCTGAAATCGGCAGATCTTTGAAATATAAATTTTCGACAGTTTTATATGTATTTCAAACAACGCTAAATTTTTTGTAATAAAACTTTTCGTATTTTTAATTAACTCTCACTTTTATCAATGTATGTAAATGGTGCAATTTACAACTTCAAACGTCCTTTTTCGGGAATTATATATTTCGCTATAAATTTCCTCCTGCCGAAACGCAACGTTGTCATAAGTATGTGTCTACCTTGATTGAATCTGCATGTAAATCGACGGAATAAGCTGCTTTCCTGGTAGATGGGAGAGGGCTTGGTAAGATAGTGAAGACCTAGTGCAGGAGGGTTCGAGGCCTTCGAAGGTCGAATCGGAAGCGGGAGGGAAAACACGCACTGAGATCGAGCGTAAGCCGTAACCGAGTGACAGGTCAATATTAACTCTGGCGATGGTCGTCCCGTGCACGTGAATTCACGTTCGATATCCGGCGGAAGTAATCGAGTTCCGCGAATGGACCGAATTCGCGCGCAAACCAGACGCTCGCTCGCTGGAATTCGAGGTGGATTTGGTATTCGGTCCGGTAAATCGTTCCGTTTGAGATTGTAACGAATAACGATAAAAGCCAACGCGTGAATAAAGTTCGTCGCATTGTTGCAGACGAAGTATGCAAGCAGCCGTGCGTTCTATCTTAATTACAAAAATAACGAAATAATAAACATGATATATAATACCGTTTATTGAAAATCATATATAAATAAATTTATTGCTTTAAATATATGTTCAATTATTAATTTATATTAATTAAATATATATTTTTATATTATTTATGTTCTATTAAAATAAAAAAAAAATCTTAAATAATACCGTATAAATACGTTTCTAAATAACATCTCGATTGAATTGCTGCAGTGCAGCATCGATCAGCGGCATTTAGTAATTGCGGAGAGAGAAGTCAAGACGACAGTTTGCGTTATGCTCGGAAATTGCATCGACAAGTATTACCGTTGAACGGATGCGGAATTGATGGCGCGTTAGAAGTGCCGCTGCGAAATCGCCGACGCATTTTTCACGATCAAGTTTAATTGCCGGCGATGTACAAAGTGCAGGGTCGTATGCCCGGGAACCGAGGGAAATGCGCGTTAATCGCAGACGGTGATTAATGCTCGCCCGCCGGGACTGCCGGCGTTGGTCACTCCAATGAAGAGACGTGGAGAAACGCGGGCCTCTTTAGGGGAGGCTGTAATTTACGTTGCGGTGGTTGCATACAAAGCGGCAACAATCGATACAAAACGGTTGAATCAACGCCGACCCACTCGTTTCTTCATAATTTCGCCTCCGTACGACGCGAGGGAGGACATTAACTATTTTTTTTTCCGCTTACTGGAACAATTTTTCCTTAAATCAATTCAACGTACACAAGCTAAAAGCTTCGGGATTGAATTTACGGAAATCCAAGACGAAAATTACTTCGCTGTCGACCGCAAGAGTCGCTTGTTTATTCTGTTAATATTTTTTCCGGTTTCAACTTTCCAGTCTGCGAGTTACTTAAGTGAGCCGCGGATCGCGCTAACGATCGCGCAAATTAGTAAAAAGAGAGAAAGTGAGCGAAGTGTGTCTCGAGTGGCGCGTATTATGTGGGAGTTAAGGAAAAGGCAATTTCTGTACTCACTCCTGCGTGAGCGTCGCGGTTGACGGTTTTTCGATTTCCGTGCTAACCGTGCCACCGTCTGGCGTTCGTAGCGCGGCCTCCAGCGCGGCCGCTTCCTCCTCTTCCCTTAATTCTTCAGAGGCCTCCTCGGGAATCGTTGTAATGTCCTCAATTGGCGGGAAGTCATTCCCGTTATCCTCCAGATGATTTTCCAGCATAGGATCGGAATTATTGTCGCCTGGTCGCGTCACTTCCTCGATATCGGAATCGATACCCTGTGTGATAGAATGGATACGTTAATTGACATGTATAATTTTGAAAATCGTCTCGCATTTAACATAAAACAAATAATTCTCGAAATACTCGATTATTTTTTGCGCGAGGAAAAAGAGTTAACATTTCTAGCAATACATTTTAGCAGGTGTTAAATATTAAAACAGGTCTTTTTAAATGCGTTAAATCGATGGCTATAAAAAGAATGCTGCATTTACCGTGATAACACATGCTTAAATAATTGAAAGAAGAGATCTCACTAAATTAAGCGAGATGAATAATTTAATTCTTCTTACTGGAACAACTAATTTTACACTTTATTTATGGGAATATTGAATTTTTCTGTTTCAGTAGTGAGATTTATTGATGTATTATTTCAGTTACACATCACTGCGCTTTAATTCAATTTTAGAAGGGTCGAATACAGAAATACATATTTTGAGAGTGATTTAATAAAGATCCATCGTATTCCGACACCCGTGTCCCAAAAATGTCGCTCTACTCTAACTGACAGTGGATATTGAATTTTTATCTGCGTTTAACATGTATACGCAATACTTCCTTATCCGGAGAAGTACATCAAAATAAAGCTTTTACAAAATCTACTAATTTTACGAAATAATTTTTTGATATTATGGAATAACACAAAGCTTAAGAATGTAAAAAAATTCTGGCAAGAATTTAAAAGTTAAAATCCTGCAAATCCAGCGATTCTCTTTTCACCACAATTTGTCATAAGTTGGAGAAATGACTCCGAGTCGGAGATCCGCAGCTTTGTAATTCTCGCCTCCAAAATCTCTACGGATAATTACCCCTGGTTACTTAAGACAGATGATTTTTAATCTACAAGCACGCGCGCGCGGCGCCTTGTACGCCCCTCCTCCCCCCCCCCGTTCTGCGTACCTGAGCGAAGTCCATGTAGAAGGAATCTCTGGAGTCGGAGCTGCCCTGGCGTAGCCGGAGGCTGAGATCCGGCGAGCTCTCTCCCATCTTCCTTATCTCCTTATCTCCTTCTCGCTTTTTCACCCCCGTGGCTCAACCGCACCTTCCTCACGGAGAGTCCTTGCTCTCCCTCGCGCCTCTCCTCGTTCCTTTCGCCCCTCTTGCGCGCCGACCCCCTCGTCTTTGTCTTCGACGAGCTCCTCGCCCTCTCTACGGACGGGGAATTCTAAAGAGGGTGGATCCTTGCGCACACAATCCACCGGGTTTGCAGCCTGAAAGAATCGGCCCTTGAAAGACAGATCGCCTCAACGCCATCATCTCCTCCACCTGCCTGCCCGCCCTTCGCGCGCGAGGGATAGCGGGAGATCGCGCGATGCGAAAATACACCGGTGAAAAGAGTCGGCGTACGTGAGCGCCGCGGCCCTCTTCTCAACGACAACTCTTAAACCCCCGGATATCAAAGGCGTTTCTCTTTACCCCCTTCGCGAAGGACGAACGAGTGAGCACGCGCCGGGAAGCTGTGACTTTTACTTCGACGCTTATCCCGATTATTAATCGCACCAGCGATTCAGAAAAAAGTCACTAAGAATGCTTGTTAGAATTCAAATATATTGGTATCATTGTGAAGCTTATTTCAATAATTATTATATAACATGCAGAAATATGAAACATAAATTCATTACGTTAATAATTGAGAGCTCACATTGTAATCAACTTTGTCGGTTTCGTTTGCTTTCTTTTGAGACGTTTTTTTATTCTTCAATTAACAGGTAGAAATAAGTCTTTTTATTAATTTATCGATTTAAAAAGAATAATTTAATTTTAAAATTATTTTATTTGATAACAGAGAACTATGATCCATTATATTTCACAATTTTTGAGGACACCATCGGATAATCTCAGAAGCGAGTTTCGATGTTCTCAATTACGTAAGGTGACGAGATGGAACGTACTTTGTAAGATTGAAACTAATTAGTCAGGCAGAAAATTAAATCATGCTCTCTTTGAGTTAATTATATAGTTCATAGTGCGGTAATAATTTCGATCGAAAGTTCAGAACGCAATTACGGTATGATTGCTCAGTGGCTGCAGAGTTAACGGTAAACTGAATATTTCATTAGTGCGAAAGCGTAAAAGTCAGAGTCCTCGAGCAATTTTATTAAAGCGAGTTAAGTAAAACGCGCTGTTCGCGAAAAACGCATCGTGGGAAGTTGCAGTTTATCTTGGGAGAAGCGGACTTATGTGCTCAGCCCCCTTAGTCATGTTGTTTCTAAGCTTATAGCCAAACTGACTGCACAGAGTTGTTGTTAGCAGAGTAACAAGATACTCTGCTAAGACGCTGCTCTATGCGCGGAATGTATAATTACTTGCGAAAGTTGCTATGCAAAGCTTTCGGTGATTACAGCCTTCGAAACTTTAGCCACTTCATATATGTCAGCGTTAAATGTCATGTGCCACGACAGTGAGGAAATTGGAGAGAGCCGATCGTTAATATACATTTATCGTGACGATATTTATCAAACCGAATATCGACAGGATAAATCGGAAAATTACATGAAAACCATATATTGAAATTACACGGTGATCTACATGTTTGCTCGCGTATTCCTATTAAGAGCATTAAGGATGTTTACTTTGAATTAAATATAAATATTGCGATGAAATATTTATTATAGTAGGATAAAAAAATTACGTTCAGCATAATTTCTCCGGAAAAAAAAAGAAACAAATATTTTGAGGTAAAAAGTATGAGTCACGATAGACAAAGCAGTTCGATACTCGCAGCGTAGGAAGGCAATGCCCTCGTATCTGCGAAGGACACTTTGTCGTCCCACGAGTGATCCAGTATAGAGGCAGTGAAACGCTTCCTCGCCAGGACGCGGTAGCTCCGACGTCAATGAACATTCTTCCCGTTCAGACCCTAACGCCATTCCACGACGGACCCTTCCGTTCGTCGAACGTTTTATGGCTCGTATACGTGGCATCGAATATTTCTCCATCAAAATGACTCCCCCGCGCGCATTAGGGAAACACTGGGCACAGTGGAAACAATGTGGAGTCAGACCTAGCTAGCGTTCCGCTTCGCCCGCAATAAGACAAATAATTTTGCGGCTGCAGTGTGGCGTGCGGAATAATATGATATCGATCGCGAGCTCTCGTCCGGGAATAATTACTGGATCGCATAATTGCTATTAATAACGTTCTTCTAACAATTATATTGCAATAATTCAAGTTATTGATCGCGTAGCTGAACCAAATATCGCTTTTGCTTTGACATTTATTCACAAAATTACTGTTCATCAAAAAATAAGAGATTAAATTTGTGGTTAAAATATGAAAGCGTTAATAATTAATATACTTCAGTTAAATAGAACGAGTGTGAACAAACGAACGAGAAAGTATTGTATGTTTAATACATGATAGAATAATTTATGGGCATCAAAGTAGAACATGGTGGAAAAGCGACTATATCGATGCAGTAAGATGGATGGATTGCGTTTGTAAGAATCCGTACGATGATTCTATATCCGACAGTGTTGTTTCTCTGGTACAGTAGTGCAGTTGTTGCTTTCCCAGAATTCCGCAGCAACGATTTTCCGTTGCTTGCGTCGCGTGCGGGAAAAAGGCAGCGGTTTCCACTCCGCGTTCATGCTCGGAAGCAGTTCATTGCCTTTTTACACTGGCGATGTCGCGTTCCAGCGTTTTATCTAAACTATACGTCTCGTTGCTAGATGCACGCAATAAAGCACGCAACAGAATGAAAAATAAACGTCGGGAAATGATAGACCGAGAGCCATCAAGTCATATCAAAACGCAAAAAATATAGCAGTTTGATATTTGCGTGCCACTTGAGAAACGGTTGAATATTTATCGCGACTTATCCGTTCCGACGTGTTGAATTGAAATCTCGTTAGAGCAGAGTTAGACTTTTTAATTCAAACAATTTTTTTTATTTTCAAAATAACTAACACAGCTTTATTGGCTCCGAAACTTAATTCGCAGAATTTAAATAACGATCGGGGCTTCTTTTAATTATTTCAAGCACGGACATTATTGACGTCTCAGCGTTTTCTCTAAGGAGATTCCAGCCAATTCCAGATTGGCCCAAAAATACTTCCGCAAATTTCGGTCATCTATTTCAAGAATAACCAAAAATACGTCGTCCGATTCCACGTCTTACGATTTCTCATGCAAAACATCATAATTTAATCATGCCACATAATGAATAATAATTCATCTCCATCGTTTAACATGCCAATTTCGATCGATTTAGCGTAAAGCGGGAGTACGTGTGCGTCAGCCAATTAATTCCTTTCCCTCCAACGCCGAATATCGCCACTTCCGCATGTCTTCGTCTCATATCTTGCACGTCAAGAAAAGTCAGTTCAAAAAAAAGAAAGAAATTACTTTACTTACGGGGTGAGCTCATGACATTTGTCGCCTTCCGGCGTTCATCTTCCCGCACCCTTCGTCGTCGCTTGCCCGAGAACGACGCATCCTCCCTCTCACATCGTAGTACGCACCGTGCAGTCTTTCGTTTTCACTTTCATTCGGCGCCTCCACTCGCCGGGCTCGGCCGCGGACCCGTCATCTGCCGCCTTCCGCCTCTACCCGGATCCACCGCGAATCCATATTCCGTAATCGGTGCCTAACGCTGCCGTTGCCGCCGCCGCACCACCCACAGGTTGTAAACACACGCACCAACGCGTTTCTTTACGCACACGCGTGCCTGACAGCGGGGGGGTGCGTACGAGCCGCGCGCGTTTTTCTCGCGAGTTTTTTTTTTCGTTCGGAGAAAAGATCTGCGAAAAAAGGCGCGTGACTAAACTTTCTTTTCTGTATCGACTTCTCGACGAATTTTTTTTTTTCACGGCGCTCCGGAAAAAGGAAACTTGTTGAGCGAATCAAGCGGAAGGGAAAGAAAGTGGGGTGCGATGTAAGAGAGAGAATGTTTTCCGAAATTGAGTTCGGGGATGGAACGCGGATCAATCGTGGCGCGTGTACACGAGGCACGGAGACACTTCGGCACCTCCCGAAGGGCGCGCCACGCGAGGCATCGACATCCTGCGAGGGTCGCCGGGCTGCTGCGATGGCCCGGGCGTCGCGACGGGAGCGCCCGCGCCGCGACGCCGCCACCCGCCGCACGCCGCTGCGCCGGACGACGTTGTTGTATCGCGGCGCACGCTCGTAACGAAAACGGAGGCGTCGGAAGAGAAAGATCGGATGACGTTTCATCGATATCCTCTTCATTTTGCAGAAAAAATTGGAATCTCGATTATCGAAATAATGCAGAAATAACGCTTCACTTTTCCTATATTCTTAAACATTATCAAATATTCGTAGTTTTCTGTATAATTATTCGTACTATAAATATATTTCATATATGTTGCAAGTTTTTTACGCACATGTGCCCTTCAAATTGCTACTGAAAAATAAGGATAACTGGAAGTAAAACATTCTTCACGCTTAAAAACGGAAATTAATAATGCATAAAACATTTATAATAAAATAGAATACAAATTTTATGAAAATACAATTCAAAAAAATAATCTTTAAAGATATTTCGGAAAATATACATTGTTCGGGATAAATTACGAAAATATGTAATATTTGAACACATTTAGATTATGTTTATTTCTGCCATTTAAAATAAGATAATATAAAATAAGATATAATGTGCTGCATGTTCTGGTGTAAAAAGTAAAACTAAATATACATATCTTCTCCACAGAGTGCAAAAATTGTAACCGTATTACACTTCTTGTAAAATAACGATAATATCAATGATAATATATTATACAGATAAATATGGCTTATGTGTATGTATAGGTGTTAGTACAATATTCTTATCATATATATATATATATGCGCGGATTTCATTATTTTTTCAGTCTCATACTAGTTTTCCATGCACCTGTCTTTAATCCACACACGACGTTTGGACACTTTACCAAGCGTACATGCATTAGTTTCCGACACATTTTTGCCAGGCAGGACCTCCGCACGTTATAGAAACAATCACATATATTACAACCTGCAGTAAAAAAGACCGGATAACATTAGAGTGTGATAAAATTTGAAGAAACCTAAAATCGATTACAATATTAAACTTACGATCAAAATTATACCAACAACAACATAGATTTTGACATTTTTCCAAAATAAGGAGCGCGCTAAATTTCTGCTTGTCTTCCTGAACGTGACGGACTAAAATAAGAAATTTATTGTATTAATATTGTACAATTAATATAACGTTAATTGTGCGCATGGTTTTACATACATTGGCAGACAAATTTTCTGTTTTGTTCACAAGCAGTTCTAATCGTTCACCACGCATCGCTATATTGTCGATATTTTTTACCATAATGTCCTTAAGTTCATCTAGTTCACCATGAACTTTGGACAATCTATCAAGATCTTTGGATTCGCTGTAATGTTTCTAACAACAGAAAAAAATATGATGAAAAACATGATGTGGAAATAAAAACATATGCAGCAGATATAGGAAGCTTCTCTCAACATAGAAAATACTTGTTATATATATTTAGACTGCTCTTAAGTTTGAATTTTAATTACCATTTCATTAGCCAAAACACGGCCAAATTCTGTATTCATGGCATATGCTACGGCAGTTTGAGCACCTGGTCCATAAACAGCCAAGAACCTCCTCTTAATTTCGTTGAGGTATAAAAATGCTCTGGATCTTTGAAAATCCTACAATCAATTTTCATTATACACACGATAACAAAGTTTATCACACGCTTCATACATACATCATCGGTAATACACATGTAAATAAGGCGATCTTCGCAAATATAATGGAAAAGATAAGGCCCTTGCGAGTATGTGAGTTTGTCATTGTCCGGTGGTATTTTTGCTAAGATCTTTGCTGTAACTTCTTCAAAATTTCCAACACATGCAGCATGTTTTGCCAATATAATTGTCCCACGGGCCACTACGCTGTATAAAATTGGCATATTGATAGCTGTAACAAAGAGCACACAATTAATTAAATATAATAAATAAATTTTACAACACTATTCTTAAAATATGCCTTGTAATTTAATATATTTTCTATTGACTTTAATTTTTATCTTTAATCATGGACAAACGCAGTAAATGATAGTATTATCCGCCCAATGGGATTTCTTTATCATATCACAACAGAAACAACAGGCCATATTATAGTCGGCAGACAAAATCTACATAATCCAAACAAATGTAAAATTTGATTTTGAATATGAAAAATTAAAAACGTATCAATAATGACATATATTAGCTGTGATGTTGTCGAAATTAATAGTAATTTCTATCTACATACACACACACGTACGTAAATATGTATATGTTCACAATCTTAACCTCCAATTTGATGATATAATGCAACAAACCAAGGTTTCGAAACACTTTTGACTGCTTAGACTCTGACTGAATGCAAAAAATATCATTAACAATTAATGAAAAAAAGAATAGATCACACTGATGATCTAATACTCGACCTTACCTCAGTACAAAGCGATTTAATTAAACGAATAGCTGCGCACTTTTCTATTTACGTCTTGGGCAATGTAACACTATTCTTAAATTTATACATCTGTCTACGATAATGATTAATCCATTAAATTATTGCTTCTTCTCGATAATTTTGACAAAAACATTAAAACACTTCCCGCGACATAAACACTGTCATCTCATGAAATCATCGATGAGTGAGTGCGTCAGTTCATATGATGGGTGACAACCTGTGATAGTGGGAATTCTTGAAGTAAACTTGATTTTGCGCACATTGCAAGGCGCGAAGCTTGAAATTATTGTAGTATTCAATACCATAAACAAATAAATGTTTAATTAAGAAATAAATTAATAAATGTTTAAAAAAATAAATTCAATTCTTATCTAACAATAGATTGTCTTTACGTTAATTGAAATATATAGCATATTTTTGTGGTTTTAAAGTACAAAATATAATTAAATCAATTACACAATCTTGTTTCATAAAATAGTAAATTTTCTGTTGCCGAATTAATTAATATTATGTATTTTAAATTTTGTTAGATAAAAAGTTTTGTGTTTTTTTATCAATAAAAATTTAATGTAAGTATTAATGTATTGTATACTTTTTATTTTACATTAATTATTATATTTTTTATTTGTTGCTAAAATGTCATATTGGGAAATTATTTATTACTTTATTTTAGATATAGTAATTTAGTTATATTTTTATTACTGATATAATATTGGACATTGGATGTCAATATATATATATATGTTTTTCAAACTGACAGTACTTGCGATTGATAAAGTGCACTTGTAAAATGCGCAACACTTTTTGTTTATGAATCATCAAATGACTGTATAAACTAATCTAATTAAGTTTTCGATAAAACCAAATTATATACTGACAACGAGTATTTCTTCGAATATATTAGCTTCCGATTAACTATAAAAATTTTTAAGAAAAACTTATTTATTTCAATTAACCCAAAAATATAATTTTCATGCAAAAATAATGCAATATGCGAAAATTTATTTTGATATGTGTATATATTACAAGATCGTCGTGATTTCTCGCGTCTCACATAATTCAATGTATTTATAATGATGATTCAGTAGCTTTGAAAGCAGTATTAATATGCGATTCGTTATCTGCGTCATTATATGCGAATCTTATATCGTTTCAATATCAGTGATACTTACTGGGCTGATACTGGACACACGATATTGAAATAATATTAGAATTCAAATATTTATGCTATGTTGATCACGATGCTGCGCTAGATTTATCTAAATTTTATATATTATGTCAATTTTGTAACAAGATCAGCATGTAGTATCCCGCCAACATTGAAACTTATACAGCCTCGGATTGTGTCACTACATCGGTTGTAAATCCCTATCTGGGTATTTCTTAAAATTCCACGAAGCCGGCGCACGTGTCGTGACAGACTGGCGCATGTGCCATTCACGTTCATAGAAAGCTGTGCTCCAATTTTGGACTCCCATATCACGTCGGTATCCTCAGGTATCCTCTCGCTCGTACGTATCGACACAACGACCACTGCACTGGCTACTCCGATTTACTACAATGATAGAAGGAGATAACAGAACGTAACACGAAGATAACGGTGCTTCGTCACGAGGAAGGAGATGGCTGCGGCGTGCACGTGAAGTCTGAGCCAGTGCTGCAAAGGCTGCGAAGAGAGACGTGGTTAGGTAGTAAACCGCGTGATCCTTAAAAGGCGACCCTGAGAGTTCCTTGCCGAAAAGTCAGTTTGTGAAACTACGACTGTTTCTAAAAAGTTACTTCGATTTATTGAAACATCGTCAACCTTGGCAATAGTTATGGGTAAATATTAGTATTGTTTAATATAATTTGCAATCAGTTGATTTTGTTGCTTCTGTTGCTAAAAGAATTTTAATATGATGTAAAATATTTTTTACCGGTATATTGATTTTTTATCGATAAAAATAAGCAGCAGTTAAATAAATTGCGAGAGTCAACATGAGATTGTTGAATAGCGAGAAACAAATAAAACATGTGAAACAAGATAAGATTGTATATATAGTTAGGTAACATGGATTAATATGAAATTATAAGTTTAAAGAAATATTAATGAAAACTATTTAAACCTTAAGAAATGATAAGTAATAAAATAACAATTACTTTTTTCTAACAAAGAATACAATAATAAAAATGCAAGTGTAAAATAATTCAAGAGTGAAAAAGAAGAGAAAAAAACAGATGCAAATGAAGAATTGAAAAATAAAATTACGTCAGACGATAAATATGTAAATAAAATGTAAAATGCGATAAGAACATTATATTTAGTGACTTGTTTGAACTGATAATGATGATAAATGAACAGAAACTCTTTGAGGCCAACAATGATAAGTAAAAAAATGTGTGGAATTTAAAAACATTCATAAAATTTGTGGTGAAATTATAATGTGATGTCTCCCCCATAATTTTTAATTAGTGAAATTAATGAGCTTAATTATGTGCACGAAGTGGAAAATAATTTTATTCTGAATGATATCGCTTTTTTTGCTTCGTATTATTTATTTCTATTCAGGCACAGCAAATTATAATACGTTCATAACATAGTGACATAATTTGGTATGTTTATTTATCGATTATATAATAAACAAAACCAGTACGAATATAGAATTAATCTTAAAAGATCGTAAACGATTGAAAGGCGTAAGAGTGGAAAAGCGTTATAACTCGCGGAATGACCGCATGGAATCCGGCATTTCGCACGGCACATTTCCTACGAACAATGCATGTATTTTCTCCCAATTTTATTCCTCTCACGCGATGAGCAGCTTTACTTCGTCATTAAACATTATTGACTGGAACAAATGATGATAAGTGCGCAATTTTCTGTTGCCGAGTGTGAAAAAGGAATACTTTATTATTTAAATGTATATATGAATCTTATCAATGTATACTATTCATCAACCAATCACAACGAAGATATTTTTATCTATTAACTATCATAACAATATATATACATTTAATATGCTCTTTACTTTTATATAAATTTTTACCAATAGTCGTAATTGTTTTAAGTCGCTGAAGAGATCGAATAAATCATGCTTAAGGCATTGAAAGACTAGCAGTCCCCTCGTGTTCGAATAATACCTGTTTCTTGTAATATTGATTTTGTCAAGCGTGCGTAAGGTCCCCTAAATGTCCACACAAATAGGATTTCCTCTTTCAGAAAGTATATATCCAAGGACTCGTATGTATATATAAAAATACGTCTTTGTTTTATTTATTTAGTTGGAAAAAAAGGTATGAATAATAATCTCTCATATGATTTTTTTCTTTTGAATGGAATTTTTTAAGATGTATGCTTGTTTACAAAAATGCTAATAATAATTTATTAAAATGTGACAAATTATTTTTGTGCAGATTTTTTTGACTCCCATTTGTTCGAAAGATCACCGCGATAAACTACCGTGTACGTGATTTGCATAAAATTCGTATTTGTTAACGCACCTGTTGTGTCACGTTGTATTCTTCCGTTATTTAATATTTTTCATTTAGAAGATGAACAGAATATAATGTTTTTTTTCTTTCTTTTCTGGCCGATTAGCTGCACAATAGTTCTGCTTGTTTTTAAAGTCGAGTGCCGTTACTCAGCACTTCTTAATCGCTAACCATTGACATTGTAGAAATATCTGCTGCTATTAAAGTGTTTTTACTGCTTCTTACTTTTCTGTATTTATTATGAAAAAAATACGATTTATGAGAAATTTTAATTATTATATAATATTGACACAATAAAAAATGGCAGTTTTAAAATATCTTACATATTTTCTTATTAAAGAATTTGATAGCATTGATTGTCTTAATTAAAAATTAAAAATTGTACTATAAAAATTTAATTTGCGCGTACTCAATTAGCATATAAAATTTATCTTGTAATTATTTTGTATTGCGCAAATTGCACGTTATTCATAATGTAGGCAATTTTATCCAAAGTATAGCGTGGTTGGAGAAACAGACCTATGTGATTTGCATGCAGAGTGTTAATTAGCAAGCTATTTAACACTTAAATTAACGGAATTTTCTTAGTAGAAGCTTATCCATCATTTACACTGTTACTAACGACTGATTCCACTTTAACAAAAGCTAATATTACAAGGTAAAGATGAAAACCTAGCAGTAAGAATTTTGTACGAGCTTTACATTACACTGGCTCGCTGTGCTTCGTTGCGTTCAATTTCATCGTGTACGCGTTGACCGGTTTCGCACGTATGCATGTCATTATGTGCCGATGAAAAACGAGCACAAAAAATGAATATGTACTACATCCGTTTCCATTTCGCGTTTAAAGCGACAGAACGACATATTTTCCTAAGTATTGAGTTTAAATTAATTTACTATCACGAAATATCACACGCACGTGCATTTATGTACGTCGAAAATATCTATTATTTTTTGCATCTGAAATTCCTTCCGATCATTTTTTAGCAACATTAAGTACATCGTAATTTGAAACTGTTATACATCACGGTAAACGATCAGGTGACCTCATTTAACCACCATTTTATGAAAAGTTTCCGGAATTCATGAAACCGGTTGTGCATCGTGAAGACCCAATTTTTGCCACGAGAAAGAAATATGTTGTTACACAACTTAAGTAACGCCAACGTCACGACGATATTAAATGCTTGAACGTCATGTCGTTAAATGCACGCTCATTGAATATACGATTGAATCATATCTCTATTTGTTACGCAATTGTTCATTCGCTCAATATTGAACTCATATAGTTTAACACGAGACAATTGAAATCATAAGTTTCTATTTTTTTCAATCTTTCACGTCACATAACTATTAATACCCGAATTATTTGATTAAGAACGAGAATTCAAATAGTCTTTTTTATCATCAAAATTTTCATTAAGAAAAATATGTTAAATTCGGAGACTGTATTGTCAAAATTAAGATTGCAAGTGATAAGTACAATTTATGTATTATTTCAGACAGAGCGCGACTTGCATACGTTACGGCTGCTGCTGTGGGCGCCGGCACGGCAGTCTTCTTCATCTGGTGGTGGTGGACCAAAAAGCAGAAGCCTCGACCGCCGTCGACGTGGCGAAAGGTCGGGGAAGTGAGCGATCTAGTCGCGTATCCGATCAAGTCACTCGGTCCAATTCGCCTGAACTCGATGGAAGCCACGATATTGGGTTTAAAATCCGGATGGATGAGAGATCGGTCATTGCTGGTCATCGATCTCGAGGGCCGGTTTCTTACTGCCAGACAAATACCTAGCATGGTCCAGGTAAGAAGCTATAAAATTCAATATATAATAATTTTAGAACAATTTATATATTGCATAATTTATATTTTATTAAAATTTTTATTATATATTTTATTATATTTTATTAAAATAGTAGAGAAATATACCAGAGAGAGCTTGCTGCATCTATTTTATATTTTCATATACTTTGAAGGTGTCGCCCAGCTTTTCTAACTCCGTACTGACGCTTTCTGCTCCGGGCATGATGTCAGTGTCGGTTAACCTTGCGGAGCTTCGTGGCAAAAATTTTCAAGTTGCTGTGTGGGGTCAAGCAGTATCAGCACGTGACTGCGGCGAAGAAATTGCTCGATGGTTGTCACGCTTTCTTCTTCATGAAGATACTGGTCTTAGATTGGTCTATTACCCGTTAGACCGGCCGACGAGGCCGATAAGAAGCAAGGACAAGATTTTTCCATTGGAGGAGAGCGATACGGTGAGTATGTTTTGTAATACAATAAACTGTACGAAATTGAAAAGGCTAAACCAACTAAAAGGCTAACTAAATTAAAGAATAATTAATACATTTATTTGCTAAACATTTAATTAATTTCCTGCATCAGCCAATACATATGTATTTTCAAGTTTTTTAAAATATATTAAATATTATTATATATTTAATTATATATATTAATTATATATATAAATTCTTTTCCGATTTATTGTTCATTTCCGGGCATTTAAGTAAACTTCCAATACCGTAAATTCCTCCTAACGGGAAGATCGCGCTTCTACTGCAAATCGGTTAAAGTGATTTGCTTGCATCGTCCATCTGTTACTGCTGTCGCGATGATAAATGCAAGTTGACATAATAAATATTGACATAATAAGTCCGTTATGTTGGTTGGTGCAATAAAGGAAAATTATATTAGAAGAATAATTTATGTAATGTAAAAGCAATTATAAGTACGATTATATATATATTGTCATAATTTTATGCGATAAATTTATTATAAAATAATTATTTTGTTACGCTTTAATAGGGAGCCTATACAGATGCAACGAGTTACTCCCTTGTTACCGAAGCTTCAGTAGCAGATCTTAATTCTCGATTGGATGAAACAATCTCATCGCAACAATTTCGCATGAATATTGTAGTCAAAGGTTCTACACCTTACGAAGAAGAAAAATGGGACTGGATAAAAATCGGAAACTTGATTTTTAAAAATGTTAAGCCGTGCACAAGATGCATCTTAACCACGGTCAATCCAGAAACTGGACAGAAAAATTCTAAAGCGGAGCCTTTGGTAACTTTGAAAAGGTATGATAAAAAATATATAATTATAAAATAATATACCAGGTTCTTCTTCAAGTTACTAGAACATAAAATAAGTATAGCATAAATTTAACGTATAAATATAATTTTGATACTTCGTCTCGTCACTAATAAAAAATTTTTTTTTACAGCTATAAACAGTGCACAGATCCGCTAATTCGTCCCTCAGTTGGCGACAGTCCGATTTTGGGAATTCATCTTGGACTGCGGGGACCAAATGGGACGATCCAAGTAGGCGATTCTGTTTACTTGGGTATCTCGGATGAGAAGCCGAAGCCTTCGAGTCCACCGTCTTAGCTATTCCGTTGGGACTCCTGCGAGTTTTCAGAACACGAGCCGACAGCTCGTATTGAAGACCAAGAAGCGGAGTTCCGAACTGATGATAAATATTAATAGAAACAACTATATGGACAATTGTGTGCATCTTCAATTATGAATAAAACGGTGATTTTACAGGTGGGTAAGAATAATAAATTTACAAAACTATTGTTAATAATTGTTACATTTTATAAAAAATTAAGCTTGGTGAAATAAGTAGAAATGTGCAATAAACACTAAAATAAGCAACGATAGGATTAAATTATCCTAGGCCTAAGTGTGATCTGAATAATATAAGTGTCTTTCTAAACATAAATATGGCAAAAATTTCGAAAAATAGTTTTGAGAATTATGAGGTGGTAAATCTGTTCAAGCGATGGATGAATTGTTAATATTTTAATATAATGCCTTAAGTATTGTTGCATTTATATTGTATGTGGCTTTAAATAATAGTAGTAAATATGATTTGAGTGTAATAATATCATTATTTATTTTGTAATTTTAAAAACAAATATTTATAAAAGATAATTATTTTACGGCACTACATTTTATTTTATTGGAAGTCAGTGTAAATTTCATTAATTTTATTGATAACTGGACCATACAATATTTTTCTAATAATATTTTTGTACTGTAGGAAGATTCTAATAAATTATAAACATTTTGTCAAATGCAAATATTTGCCATGATCTTTCCTACACGTAAGAACTCTTATTTAATGTGTATGATCAAAAATCGACGACACATGATTTACTTATTACGAGATTTATTCGCACTACGAAACAACAGCGATGTTTTACATAGAGAAATAATACGCTCTAAGGAAGAGGAACGTCGTGTTTCATGTTGACGACTTTACGTTCGTCCGCGTTATATTCCGCAGCGGAAAAATCCAATAAGGAAAATATTTTGCTCTAATTGTGTATTGCGATAACGAGTTTGATACAATTTGCATCTATTGCATATCAAGGACAATTACTTTGATTTTATTATTAACAATATTTAGAGAACTGTCTAAATTTCATGTCACTGCGATTTTTAAGGAAGAGAGGAATAGCTATAGGAGAGAATTGTGTACAAGAGAACAGTGGTATATATATATGTGTATAGATAGAACAACAAATGCCTGGCACTATAGCATTCTCGGGGCTATGTACAAGTTTGCTCGTTTATTCTTATATTTGCACAAAAATCGAAGGGCACATTTGATTTTGTTTTTCAATCCAGCACGCGCCTTACGATCGAAACAATTCATAGGCCTTTATACTCTCTACATAAAAAACCAACAGATTCTTTACTCATACTTTGAGTACGAAATTGAAATATTTCGACAGATGACTTTTTTAGCGGCTCGAAAGAACGCGCGAAGAAATTCAGTCCGCAATCGTCGGTCCATGAATCATTTTGTTTAAACTGTCCACGAAGAGCGTATCGTATCACAAACTCAAAACGATTTTACTGTCTCTTCCAATGTGCTTCCATCGTACCATGGCGGTGCGAGCCATGCTATTACGATCTATATTCGATCGTCTTAAAACGGCGACCGCTTACAAAAATTTCTATCGCGTTATAATTATCCTACTTGTCTAAAGGAAAGAAAGAATGACAGAAACACATAGAAAAGTAATAGAAATACAGGAACATAGGGCGATAGAAAAAGAAAGAGAGAGAGAGAGAGAGAGAGAGAGAGAGAGAGAGAGAGAGAGGAGGAGGAGGAGGAGGAGGAGGAGGAGGAGGAGAGAGAGAGA